TGAACTCTGGGCCTGGGCACTGTCCCTCAGCTCTTCAGCTCAAGGCTAGCGCTCTACCATTTGAGCCACAGCGCCACTTCCGGCTTCTTTCTTTTTGCTTATGTGGTGCTGAGGAATCGAACCCAGGGCCTCAGGCATGCAAGGCAAGCACTGTACCACTGAGCCACCTTCCCAGCCCATGGCTGCAGAGCTTTATGTCTGTAGGATCTTTTTTTTTCTGCAGAGCTTTATGTCTGTAGGATCTTTTCTTTTCTGACTTAGGTAGTGCTTGTGTGCTGACTTCTTGCCTTCTATAATTATACTTTGAGGACCAGAACATGTTGGAGTTAGCACTCAACCATCAGCCTTTTCTGAGACATTTTTTGAGAGCCTGTAGCTTCCAGCTGAAGGTTATCCCACACTTAGATGTCTGAAAGTACTGAGGCCCAGACAGGGGTCCCCAGAAGTAGAGAACTTTGTATATCATCTTCTCTAAGGTCCTTATGAGGGTCAGTGACTGTGGCTGTTCCAGATACCACCACTCCCTGTAGCCGTGGAAGGAGACAGTTCTTTGCAAATTTTCAGAGCTCCCCGGTCTTTTAGCCAGGCTTTAGCCCAGAGCAAATGTGGCCAGCAAGAATGGTTAACACATGAGCTCCAGATCTGTTAGCACCAGTCATGGAGTTCACCTGCACTTGTTACCTAATCCTGGTATCTTACTGGTTTCTGTTGCTGAGAATGAAAGCAGTTGACTTCTGTGTATGCTTGCTTCTGTGACTGACTTGCATTTTGTACAAGCTGGGGATCTCCCAGCTTGAGATTCCTAGCACATGCTTGGTATGTGGACCATGTAGACCTGGATTTTGAAATTTAATAACTTTGGCCTTTTTTCTGCCATGTCAGTTGTTGAAGACAGCCAGCGCCCTACACCACTCCCCATTAATGAGAAACTTCGTAAGATCAGAATGATAGAGTTAAAGGAGATTTAGAAACAGCTTGTTTCAGAACTCTGTGTGTGTGTGTGTACTATATATATACATATATGTATATATAATATCTTATTGTTTGCCTAGTAAATAACATGGCTTTGAACTAAAAAAGTTCATCCCAATACCCAGCCATGTGAATAAGCCCAATTCATAATGGAGGCCAAATACCCAAGCTTGGGAACCCATTATTCAGCCAGACTTAGTCTTGACATCAACCAAGACATGATAGAGCTCACATGACTCTTTCTGTAGCTCAACATGGGTCAGTTGCCTAGTCTCCTTTAGGCCATAGGCTCTTTAGCTCTGGGGTTTTTTCTTGGCTGTGTTTTACCCATTCAAAGGAGCACATATGTGGAAACAGCACTTGCCTTCTTTCCACAGAACTTTACAATGGATTGGATGGAATGGTGATTCCCCCCTCATTTTTTTCTGCCTATATCATTCTAGGAGTGCTTTAATTCTCCATATGGCACGAAATATTTTCCTGAATATGCAGAGAAAATTCCTGGTGAATCTACACAGAAGCTTTCTGAAGTAGCAAAAGAATGCAACATATATCTCATTGGAGGTAATTCCTTCCATGTGGAATAATGTCCTAAGCATTAAAACATTTCAATGATTTTTTATTACTGTGCAACATAATTCAGCTTGAGAAAAATGAGTTTCGTAAGCAGAGTGTCACATGCCTATAATCCTACCTCCTAGGAGGCTGAGACAAGAAGGTTGCAAGTTTTAAGTCAGCCTGGGCTATATAATAAAACCTTATCTCAAAAAAAAAAGAAAGTTCAATGTGATTATGAAGAGGAAATTTCTATGAGGTTAACCCAATACACACAAAAGACACCTACATGCTTTTATGCAAAATTGTTTATGTAAAGTAATACTAAATATTATAGAAAGACACGTCAGACTAATATTGATGAGCCAGGCATTGCATCTGTCTTCAGTCTTAGCTATTGAGGAGGCTGCGATCTAAGGATTTCTGTTTGAAGCCAGTATGAACAGGAAAATCCTTGGGGCTCTTTTTTTTTGGTCGGTCATGGGGTCTGAACTCTGGGCCTGGGCGCTGTCCCTCAGCTCTTCAACTCTAGTGCTCTACCACTTGAGCCACAGTGCCAACTTCTGGCTTTTTCTACTTATGTGGTACTGAGGAATTGAACCCAGGGTCTCATGCAGGGGAGGCAAACACTCTACCACTGAGCCACCTTCCCAGCCCCTCCCTGGAACTCTTATCCTAATTAATCCCCTAAAAGCCAGAAGTGGAGCTGTGGCTCAAGTGGTAGAGCACTAGCCTTGAACAAAAGAAGGTCAGAGGTAGCACCCAGAGTTCAGTTCCCAGGGCCAGCACAAACACAAACCCTACTATTGATGATTTTCCTTAGGGAAGGAGTAGAAAAGCAGGAGAGATAGAAATGTGTATCTAAACCAGGTGCTAGTAGTTAATGCCATCCTACTTACTTGAGAGGCTGAGATCTGAGGATCTTGGTTCAAAGCCACCCTGGGAAGGAAATTCTGTAAGGTTCTTATCTCCAGTTAACCACCAGAAAACCAGAAGTGGTGCTGTGTCTCAAAGTGGTAGAGTGCTAGCCTTGAGCAAAAAGATCTCAGGGATAGCAACCAGGCCTTGAGTTCAAGCCCCACAACCAACAACAACAAAACAAAAAACAACAAAAAAGAAATGTGCATCTATAGAATTGATGGTTACTACCTACATAAAAGCAGCTTTATTCTTGTGACTTTGAAATGCACTTTAGAATACAGTAAATCTGTATTCAGTAAATATAACAAAATTATGTCTGTTAAGACTGGAAATAAGAGTTGGCAAAACAAGAAACATCTAGATGGATGAGCATTTACTTATACAGACACCTGTCACATGACATCTTGCCTTGAGGCTTTGGGGGATGTGGTATTTTGTTATGTTTGATTTGTTGAGGCAGGGGTAATTGGGGCTTGAACTCAGGGCTTCTTGCTCTCACTTGGCTTTTTTTTTTTTTTAATTATAGCTGACACTCTGCCCTTTAGCTGTGCCTCTACTTTTGACTAATTTTAATTTTTATTGTTATTATAAAGATGATGTACAGGGGGGTTACAGTTTCATAAGTCAGGTAAAGAGCACTTTCTTTTTGGACAATGTCATCCCTTCCCTTTCTCTTCCCAGTTTTTCCTTCCTGTCCCCATCCACAAGTTGTGTAGCTCATTTTCTGCACAGGGTCTATGAATACCACTGCTGCATTTGTACTTCTGACTTTTTGCTAGTTAATAGGAGGTAAGATTCTTTTTGGATTTTTTTTTTCTACCCCAGCTGACTTCAGACCTTAATTCTCAGATCTCAGCCTCTTGAGTAGCTAGGTGCCACTGGCACCCAACTTGGGATATAGTTTTGTTGTAGAATGTAGTGAATTTAAGTTGTCAGTAAGAAATTGTTTTACTCTGTCCTTTATTTTTTATTGTTACTATAAAGGTGATGTACAACGGGATTACAGAGTTACATAAGTCAAGTAATGAGTACTTTTCTTTTTGTTATCCCTTTTCTTCCCTTCCCTCGCTCCTTCCCAGTTTATCCATCCCATCCCCACCCTATTTTCTTTCAAACCTGACTTTTTGGCGTCTAATCTAATTATATTTTGTCAGCACTTTGGAGTTTATCTCTGAATGATATAATTAAGAAAAAAATGCTTAAATAATGCTTAGAATAAACTTCATTATCGGCCTCAAATGACAATTTGCTGGGCTTTTATCTAGTAATTACAGAAATTTGCTACATTCTTTTTCTTCTTACTGTTTTGTGTGCTAATATATGATATATCCTATCTTCTCTAATTGAAAGGCTCCATCCCTGAAGAGGATTCTGGGAAATTATATAACACCTGTGCTGTGTTTGGGCCTGATGGAACTTTGCTAGTAAAGCACAGGAAGGTAAGAAGGGATATGAAAGTATTGTTCCTTTTAAGAATTTGCTGTGAAGTCGCCTAGCCCCTCTTTCCATTTTATTTTATTAGCTTATATTTGATAATACAGAGGTCCCTCATATCATAGGTTTTGACTGAATGGCACAAATGTCTGTGCTTGGTCACTTGCATATTTCTGTAAATGAAGATACTTGTCACAGTTACTCCATGTTTCCTATCTGGATTTTTGTTTGCCTGGAATGTCTTTTCTCTTTTCCCTTCTCATTTTCTCCCTCTCCTTCCCATTTGCTTCCTCTTTCTCCTCTCCTTCCTTCTCCTCCTCTCTTCCCCCTTTTCCTTCCCTCCCCCCTCTACTCTCCATTCTCCCTCCCCTTCCCTCCCTCCTCTCATCTCCCCTTCCCCCTCCATTCCCTTTCCCCTTCTTCCCCCTCTGCTCCCTTTCACTCTCTCCTTTCCCTTTCTTTTCCCTTCGGTCCCTTCTGCTTTCCTTTCCTCACTTTTCCTTCCCTCCTTTTCCCTCCCCTTCTCTTCTTCCCTCCCATCCCTTCCCCTCCCCTTCTCTTCCTCCCTTCCCTTTCCTCTCCTCCCCTCCCCTCTCTTCTTCTTCCTTTCCCTCCTCTACCTTTCCCCCTTCTTTTCCTCCCTCCTTTTCCCTCCCCTTCCCTTTCCTTTCCACCTTCTCTTCTTCTCCCTTCCCCTTCCCTTTTGACTAACAATGATTGTCTTGCTAGGCAGGTGCTCTACCATCTGAGGCACACTCTTAGCCCTTTTTTGCTTTACTTATCATTTGAAACCTATCTTGTATTTATGTCTGAGTTTTCTTACACTATAATCTTCCTAATTACACTTTCTACAAGCTGAAATGAAGGTGTATGATGTGCTAGTTTTTATTGGTGTCAGCCTTTATTGGAAGCTGAAGTGGCCTGGAACTGAATTGTGATCCTCCCAATCTCCACCTTCCAAATACCTAGTAGTATGGGGGTGAGCCACCCATGAGATGAAATTAAAGCGCTAATGTTGGCTTTTGTATTATTGTTCCTCCCCTCCTTTAATGTCTTTGTTGGATTTTGAATCCAGGTCCTTATGCATTGTAGGCACTACTACATTGTATGTTCTATCTCTAACCACACTAACTTTTTTCTTTTGAGCCATTGTCCTGGAGATTATAGTTTCTATCAATCTATCCATCCATCTCCATCCATCCTAAGTTATACTGCATCACTTCATGTGAAAATTAAAGACCTTTTTGGTCCTATAGCTTCCATTTTCCTACCCATCATTCTTTACACTGTAATTACAATATGTTTCATGTATATATAAGTTATGTGTAGCAGCCATTTTTAATTTAGTTGTAAGTACTTTAAATAGTTTTACCTCAAATTCAGTCATTATATGTGTTGAAAGTATTTTAAATTAAGAAGAAAAAGATTTTAATGTTTACTCAAATATTTACCATTTCTGGTATTTTCTTTTCCCTATTGACGATTCTCTTCTGTCTGGTGTCTATTCATTTAGACAGAAAGACTGCTTTTAGCATTTTTGTAATGAGATTATGAACTCTATTTATATTTGCTTATAAAGATAAGCACTTTGTCTTCAGTTTTTTTTTGTTTTTTGTTTTTTGTGTTTTGTTGTTGTTGTTGTTGTTGTTGATTGTGGGGCTTGAACTCTGGGCCTGGACACTGTCCCTCAGCTCTTCAGCTCAAGGCTAGTGCTCTACCACTTGAGTCACAGCGCCACTTGCTTATGTGGTGCTGAGGAATTGAGCCCAGGGCCTCATCATGAATGCAAGGCAAGCGCTCTACCACTGAGCCACCTTCTCATCCTGTCTTCAGTTATTTTGGTGCTTTTTTTTTTGGTGGGGCGGGGGTTGTGGGGCTTGAACTCAGGGCCTGGACACTGTCCCTGGGCCTTTTTGTGCTCAAGGATAGCTCTACCACTTGAGCCACAGTGCCACTTCTGGCCTTTTCTGAGTAGTTTATTGGAAATGAGAGCCTCATGGACTTTGCTGCTCAAGCTGGCTTTCAGCTGCAATCCTCAGAGCTCCATCTCCTAAGTAGTCAGGATATTAGGTGTGAGCCACCAGTGCCTAGCTGAGCACAGTTCTTTTTAGTATATCTCCTCAGTCCTGAGTTTACTGGTTCATGAATATGGAATATGCTCCTCTATTGATTAGGCTTTATTTATTTTGTCTAAATTTCTTTTATATGGATACAGTCTTATGTGTTGTCAGATTTATTTCCTCACTGGTACTTTTATCTTTCATATGACTGTATTATTCTATAAAGGGGTTTCATTATGCTATTTTCATCTATTCATATAATGTACTTTGATCAGATTCACCCCATTACTCTTCCTTATACTCCTCCCCCTTCATAAGACCGTTTTAATAGGTTTTGTTATCTTACTATCATATGAAGCGTTTCTATCAGGATCACTTCCCTGTCACCCTCTTCCCCCCCCCACTCCCTTTCATTACCAACCTTTAATAGTCTCCTCACCTTCATTTTTACTCATGTCATTCTTTTTTTTTTTTCTTGTCTGGATTTTAAACAGAATATATGAAGCCAGGCGCCTGTGGCTCAAGCCTGTAATACTAGCTATTCAGAAGGCTGAGATCTGAGGATCGCAGTTCAAAGCCAGTCTGGGCAGGAAAGTCCGTGACACTCTGATCTGCAATAAACCACCAGAAAACCGGAAGTGGCTTTGTCGCTCAAGTGATAGAGCACTAGCCTTGAGCTGAAGAGCTCAGGCACAGCACCCAGGCTGAGTCCAAGCCCCATGACCAACAAAAACAAAAAAGAGAATATGTGATATTTGTCATTGTCAATCTGGCTTATTTCATTTAACATGACCATGTCTGGTTCTATCAGTTTCCCTGAAAACAACCTAATTTCATTCATCTTCAGTGCTACTCATTCCCTATACCTCTTGCCAATTTTGGGGTTCTGAGATGTCTTCATTTAGCATTTACAGTGAGTAAAAATACCAACACATTCACTTGTGGGCAGGAACTGGAGGGAAAACTGGGGAAAGTGAAGGAAGGGGTACATTGTCAAAAAAAGAAATGTGCTCATTACCTGACTCATAAAAAGATAATCCCTCTGTACAATACTTTAAGAATAAGGGTAAAAATATATTAAAAAATCCCAACACATTAATTATGTTCCATTAAAACTGTGGATACTGATTTACATACCATACCTGGGCTCTGGTGACTCATGCCTGTAATCCTAGCTACTCAGGAGGCTGAGGTCTGAGGATCACGGTTCAAAGCCAGCCTGTGCAGGAAAGTCCTTGAGACTCTTCAGTAAATCACCAGAAAACTGGACCTGGTGTTGTAGCTCAAGTAGTAGAGTGCTAGCCTTGAGCTGAAGAGCTGAGAGATAGTGCCTAGGCCCAGAGTTCAAGCCCCACAACCAACCAAAAAAAAAAGAACTTGCAGAATCGTTTTCCCAGTTTCCTGTAGAATTCCTTTTTTCTTTTTTTTTCACTTATCAGCCAGCTTGTGGGTGCACATTGGGCAAATTATGGGTACTGTTTATACCATTGATCTTGGAGGATTTCCATATCTGACAAGGGAAAGATGTCTGTTATTACAGCTGTGAACTCTGCTAGAGAGGAGATAACCAAACCCATTATTTGTGATGCAGATCCACCTGTTTGACATTGATGTTCCTGGGAAAATTACATTTCAAGAATCTAAAACATTGAGTCCTGGTGATAGTTTCTCCACGTTTGATACTCGTATGTACCAGATTAGTTTGCCTCTTTCAGCAATCCCAGAAAAGAGGAGAGGGTATTCCTTTCTTACTCTTCTATGTCTGTCTCCAACTTCTTCATGGAAGTAAGGATGACAGAGAACAGTCAGGAAGTAGTCTGGAAAGTTCAGGTTGGATGGAGATCTAAAGATTTTGTTCTTCCATTTGGCCATCGCCTTCTGTGCTAACCTGCAGAGAATGCCTGTTTGGCCACAGTTCAACACATTCCACGTTAACAGTAAGCCTTCAGCTAGAGTGAATTCCTCATATCTACTCTAATGTAAACTGTGTCTTTGAGATGAAATTCAAGTATGGAAGAACTTAGGCTGGGCGCTCGTGGCTCATGCCTATAATCCTAGTACTCAGAAGGTTGAGATCTGAGAATCACAGTTCAAAGCCAACCAGGCAGGAAAGTCCATGAAACGCTGATCTCCCATAAACCACCAGAAAACCAGACGTGGTGCTGTGGCTCAAGTGGTAGAGCGCTAGCCTTGAGCTGAAGAGCTCAGGGACAGTACCCAGACCCAGAGTTCAAGGGCCCCCTACCAAAAAACAAAAAAAGAACTTAGAAATTTTCTCCATTCAGGGCTCCTGTGTTAATTGTCCCTTCCCAGTGTTTGTGATCATGGCGGCTTGATATTACCCTGCCATATCATAGCACAGGAAGCTAACCTCTCACTTGTACATTTTCTGTTTGAAAACAGCTTACTGCAAAGTGGGCCTGGGCATCTGCTATGACATGCGTTTTGCAGAGCTTGCGCAAATCTACGCACAGAGAGGTGAGATGGTGTGGGTCAGGTGACAGAGGTGCTTCCAGTCTGGTCTGTGTGTGGGAGGAGACTCAAGCACAGGCTTCACACAAAATGTACAACATGCAAGAAAAGTTGGACATAGCGTCTCAGTATCTCCATATCTAGCCTGTTCACCTCTGTTTGGCTAATCCAACTTTTGCTGTGTAGAAATGTTAGTTTTGAGGTTGTATTTCTGTGTGTATGTGTTGGGGGAGGGGTTCAATTTAACACACATCATGTAGTTAAGATAGGAATCATGCTCCTTAATGTTTGCTGTACCTTTAGTTCTAGTTTTTGTGCCAGTTCTGGGAGTGGTCCCTGAGCTTTTTCCCCTGGAGGCTGAAGCTTTACCACCTGACTCATATCTCCACTTCTAGATTTTTGCTGGGTAATTGGAGATATGAGTCTCTGGGATTTATCTTGTTAGGCTGGCTTGGAACCACGAATCTCAGATCTCAGCTTCCTGAGTAGTTGAGATTACAGGTGTAAACCACCAATTCTGTTCTTTTTGACTTACTTTTGAACTCCTTCTATTACTGGATTTGGAGTCTCAGCAGAAGTGAAGCAAGGTTGTCTCTTGGATTTCTGTGCTAAGATATCTAATTAGTAATATTTTGTATACCAAGCCATCAAAAGATCTGTGTTCTAGTACCAACTCTTTCCATTAACTGACACAATACTTTGAAACTAGTCAATCTCAGAAGCAGTGTAGTTTTTAGTTTCCAAGTAGGAATGGTGTGAGGAATAATGGAGAACTCATAAAGACCTTTGTTGGTACTCAACACATGTTAGCACCCTTCCTACTCAACTGTGGGTAAAGTGAGGCAGTGAGGATGGCTTGGGTGCAGCTCAGCAAAGGTGGAGACATGTGTGCTCTTCGCACGCACTGCCAGCCCATTTCTGCAAGTGCTAGAAACTCTTCACTCCGTTTCAGTTGGAATCCTCACAGTGTGTGTTTCTTGACCTTGGACACTGACCATATCACACTGAGAAAACTTGGACAGTTCTCTACAGTTTTTGTTGGTTGTATGTTCAACGCATATATCTCTCAAAGAAGTCAGAGCTGTATCTGACTAGACTGACATCAATTTTTTGTTGTTTGTTTGTTTTTTGTTTTCCATCGTGGGGCTTGAACTCTAGGCTCATTGCTGTCTCTGTGCTCTTCACCTCAAGGCGAGCACTCTACCACTTGAGCCACAGCTCTACTTCTGGTTTTCTAGTGGTTTATTGAAGATAAAAGTCTCACAGACTTTCCTGCTTGGGCCGGCTTTGAACCGTGATCCTCAGATCTCAGCCTCCTGAGTAGCTAGGATTACAGGCATGAGCCACTGGTGACCGGCTGATTGACATCTTTTTGTACTTAGAAAGGGTTAAGTTAGGTTAGGGCCTGGTATCCACTGTCGTTTGGCTTTTCACCCCCAAGGCTGCCAGCTGTTAGTGTATCCTGGAGCTTTCAATTTGACCACGGGACCAGCCCACTGGGAGCTGCTTCAACGAGGCCGGTAAGAAAGGAACCAAGCTTCTCAATGTTGCTTCTTTGTGGAAAGGTTTTTAGTGTGGTGAAAGTACCAAAGTGGAAACGTGCAGTGCTAGCATCCAGCGACAGGGCGGGATGAGTCTGGAGGAAGGGCTGCTGCTGAGCTCACCCTGTCAGAGGCCATGGACATCTCATCAAGGATTTTTAAGGACTGGGGTTTTTGCATTTTCCAGAACATTCAGCATTGGTCGATTAGGTAGTGATTGTGTTTTTCGATGATTAAATATGAATTGGTCTCTCTGTTACTCTCTTTCCTTTGGTGGTTGTGGGATTTAAACATAGAACCCAGTGAGAGCAATGCTAAATGAGCTCATTTCCTACTCCAGATTAATTTCATTTAGCACAATTGCCAGTAACTTTTACAGAGAAATTGAGTGTGTGTGGTGTGTGCATGTGTGCATGCATGCAAGTACTGTGGCTTGAACTTTGGGGCCTTGTGTTCTTGCCTAGCTTTTTTTGCTCAAGGCATGAGACACACCTCCACTTCTAAATTTTTGTTGGTATTAGACATAAGAGTCTCTCAGATTCAGGACTAGGAATGTGACTCAGTGGTAGAGTGCTTGCCTAGTATGCATGAAGACCTGGGTTCAATTCCTCAGTACCACATAAACAGATAAGGCCGGAAGTAGTGCTATGGCTCAAGTGGTAGAGTGCTAGCCTTGAGCAAAAGAAAGCTCAGGGACAGTGCCCAGGCCCTGAGTTCAATCTCCAGGACTTGCAAAAAAAAAAAAAAAAAAAGTCAGATTTATCTGCGTGTGCTGGCTGATCCTCAGATGACAAATGGTAAAATTGTAGTTGGGAGCTGCTCGTACCAGGTGCTGAGCTTATATGCTCAGAGACTCCAAAGCCAAGAAAAGAAAAACAAGACTTACATTGAAAGACTGGTGGTTTCAGTGCCCAGAAATTCATGATAAGCCCTTATTCTTCTCAACTGCAGCACAAGAGCCTTTCACAAGCATCTCTGACATGGCATAGTTGTTTATTCCTTAGCTCTCTAAGTCTCAATGGTAATGAAGGGGAAATAGCAGAAGAGGGTAACATGGAAAGGAAAAAACTGTGTGTGTGTGAGTGTGTGTGTGTGTGTGTGTGTGAGAGAGAGAGAGAGAGAGAGAGTATAAGTGCTCTACAAACCATGAGTGCTTCCACAGATCATGGACATTAACATTTCTTTAAATGGGGAGCATAAATTAAATGGAGGAAATGTACCTGTGGAAAAATTTGTATTTCAAGCACACACAACAACCAAGCTTGCTTGCTTACTCAGCTGGTGCTCTACCACTTGTACCCAATTGGCCTTGAACTCATGAGCCTCCAGCCTCAGCCTCCTGAGTGCTGGGAGACATGCAAAACCATGCCTGGCTCTATTTGCTCATCTTAAAAATTGGTTATTTTTAGCTGGTGGCTCACAGCCTATAATTCTAGCTACTCTGGAAACAGATCTGAAGATCGTGGTTCAAAGCCAGTCTGGGCAGGAAAGTCCATGACTCTTATCTCCAACTAATCATGAGGAAAGATAAAAGTAGAACTGTGATTTAAGTTGTAGAGTACCAGCCCTGAGCTCAGGGACAGTGCCCAGACCAGCAAAAAAAAAAAAGAGATTGAGACTGAGATTTTAAGTTACTGTGTATTACGGATATTAATCCCTTGTTAGATAGACACAATTTGGAAATATCTCGCCCATTCTGTATCTATAAAACAGATACATAGTATGAGTTATTCTTCCCTGACTATTGGCTGCAGGGCTGTGGATAATCAGGTGTATGTGGCGACAGCCTCCCCAGCTCGGGATGACAGCGCCTCCTACGTGGCTTGGGGACACAGCACCGTCGTGAATCCTTGGTGAGTATGTCTCAGTGAGCTGAGCTCAGGTTGCCTGAAAGGCAGGAGAAGCTGCCGCTTGAAACCCATACAAGAAAGAATTCATCCTTCTGGATGGATTGAATGCTAGGCATCATCCCTCTTCACATGATTTTCATTGCCAGTCATACCTGCATAAACGAGGCAGCTGCGATAGGTGGAAAGAGTAAAAGAAGCTCCTTAACTTTGGATTTTGGTTGAAATTTAGGCTGAGTGACTGTTCCTAGGGCAAGAATGTGTTACAGGGCAAGGACTTTGTTCCCAATGTAATGATTAGAGGAATGGGAGGATAGAGGTAGTAAGGGAAACTATGACCCTGTGCTCTGAAAAGGGAAAGCATTTGTTTACTCGGTGAAGGCAACATGTAAGACTGCCCCGTCATCCTTTGATGTACCATCCGCCCCTCCCCCACATGTGATCTCAGCCTAGACCCCTGTCTTTATTAAGCTTTATTTTGTAGATAGTAGAATTGTTAGTTTGCCAGAACTATTATTTTAACCCAGGACTTTGTACTTGGCTTTATTCCATGCAGCATCCACAAACATATACTGTCATTCTCTCCCACACCCAACCCTCCCTCCCTTCTCGGGTATTTCTGCAGTTTCAGAATAGACCAGTAACAAGAATGAGAAGGGTTAAATAGTACTGAAAAGTCTCAAAGGGTCTGAAATTACAGCACTCAGAGCTCCATGAATGACTACAAGGCCTTCAAACACATAACTAGTGAGAGGAGCTCAATGATTCTTCTATCTGTTCCAGGCTGTTGTAAGGCCTTCAAAGTCATTTGGTATGTATTAGAATAGACACACATGCTTCTAGTCAGCTCTCTCATAGGATAGCATAGCATGTTTTCCTAAGTGATAATTTTGCATAGCCTTCAAATGATATAAATACTCAAATGGCCTTTTACATAAAAAAATTTTCGGAAGTGGTGCTGTGGCTCAAGTGATAGAGCGCTTGCCTTGAGCTGAAGAGCTGAGGGACAGCGCTCAGGCCCAGAGTTCAAGCCCCACGACTGAACAAAAAGAAAATTTTTTTTCCTACTCCTGCAGCATTGGAAGTCAGGAAGGGTTATGCTGGCTTGAAAACTTTCATGAATTTGCATCAAGTTCCTCAGTGTTCTTATTAGCAATAGGCTTCCTCTCTGTTTCTTGGGTGGTTCTGCTCCACAGATAGTTCTCCTGTTAGTGATTGAGCCAGATGTTCTAACATAAAGTGATCTGCCTTATATTTCTTCTGTGGAAGTACGTTGATGTTGGGGTAGGTACCTGAGGATACATAGAGAGCAATTTTTGAATGCTCTGGTAAAGATTAGACAAGATCAGCAAAGGATTTTGTTAAATGGAATTCACAGTGTTATTTACAGCTCATCTCTGGTGGAGATATTTCTGGCTATCTAGTAAGTAGAGCTAGTGATTATGTCATATTGTTATTGTTAGAAATGGCTTGGGATGTTGGGGGTGTTGTATAAGGAAACCATCTCAAAAAGAACTCAGCAGAGCGAAGTTTCCCTCCTTCCTTCCTGCCTGTCTTCCTTTTCTTTTCTCAGCAAGGCAAAGTTTATTTCTGCAGAGGGGTGTGCCATCAGCCAAACATCTGGCAGGAAAGCGCACAGAGCAGGCAGGCTGTCCCCTTTTTGTCCCAAACACAGTAGGTCCTGCCCTCTCTACTCAAATTGGCCAAGCTCAAATTCGCAATCTGCTGGCGGTTGGCTGGTTAGAAGAAGATAAAATATATTTACATAAAGTGACAGGAAGACTTTAAGAGTAACAGTACACCATCAATCTCAAAACAAACTCATACCCTCTGCTGTTTTCTGGAACAATCTACAGTGTGTCTTAATTCCATCTTGGAACACCAATTAAGGCAGAACCTTACATTTCAAAAGCCTTATTTGTCCCAAAGCATTTCCTCCTTTCCTTTCATTACTTGCTGATGTTGTCTTAGAATCATCAACAAGAGTTAAGTCCCCAGGCCAAAGCAGGGACTTTTAAGCAACCCATTTTAATAGAAAATACGGCTTTTCTCATGTTGTGCACGGTGACTTTGGAGTGTCACCAGGGTCAAGAGTCTAAGCACTGGAAAACGCTTTCCAGGTTTCTCTAGATTTTTGAAGGCATATTGTTCCCACCAGCATGGCACATGGATCCCCTTCAACTTCTCTCCACGCCCCATGCGTTGAAACCATTCTCCTAATCTGAAGCTGAAGCCAGTTAGCATAAAGACAGATTCCAGCTAATCTGGGGCCTGTTTGGCTCAGCCACAGGCAGGTGGGAGTTGCAGATGAAGACTGACCTTGCTTTAGCATGCTTGGAAGGAGACGGGATGGTGTTTCCAGTTGGCTCATGTTTTACTCTATTCTCAGATGTTTATAGCAGTATGTAGTTTGCAAAACATACTCTAGCCTTTTCTCACTAAGTCTCACAGAGCTCAGATTTTGACTTTGTAGAGCAGGAAATAGAGATTGCACATGGATTGCCACAAGGTCACAGCTCTTTAAATGCCAGGACAGGAATTCACATACCTACTGTTTTAGATCTCAGAATTGTTTTCTTTTGTGCTATGAACTGGTATAAAACATATTGAATACTCAGCCTCGGTGGATCCATTCATTCTCCTTGAATCTTTCAGGGGAGAAGTCCTGGCCAAAGCTGGCACTGAAGAAATGATTCTGTTTTCTGACATAGGTAAGGTTTCCCCTGCTACTGTTGCTGCTGGTGAAGCTGAGGTGTAGGTGATAGAGAGGACAGAAAGGGACCTCCAGCGAGTTTCCAGATTCTTGTTACCCTCAGAGAATAATTCAGAGGTGAGACAGTGTGGAAGAGGAAGGCAATTTTATTACAGAGTGAAAGGAAGTATATGTTTCTCAGGAGAGTGATGCTTTCCACACTTCTCTTCCTGTTATACTAGATCTTGGCATTGTGATAAAAGGTTACACAGGTCATTTTTTGTCAAGTCACTCTAGTGACAAAGGTGATTTCATTTTTTTCCTTATTTTTATCAATACTGGGACTCAAACCCAGAGCCTTGTGCTCTCCCTTTTCCAGCTCAGGGCCGGTGGGTGTTCTACCACTTGAGCCACACTTATACCTGCTGGTTAATTGGAGATAAGAGTCTCTCAGACTTGTGGACACAGGCTGGTTTTGAACCACAATCCTCAGATCTCAGCCTTCTGAGTAGCTACTATTTCAGATGTAAGCTAATATTCCAGGGTGGCTGAAATATTTATCACATCAGGTACAGGTGGGAAGATCAAACATGATGCCCATAGTTCCAACTGTTTATAATACAAAACCTAGATCAAGGGTTGTTGATTCCACACAAACAGCTAGCTTCTGAGTTGCTGCTGTTTAACATTCCTTGTTTTTCTTTCTTGCCCTTGATCCCATTAATCTTTCTCACAGTAGTTCAGGTCTGATGTCCTACTACTAAGACCAGGTCCCAAGGCTGTGAAACTTTAGTCTCTTGGGAGGAAAAGCTCTCTTTGCCTGTCCTCATTTATCCTTGACTAGATTCTAGTTTTGAGGCTAAGCCCTGAGTTTTGTTTGTTTGAAATGTTTCCAGAGAAGTGCCAGGTCATCTGCATTTATAAGACCAGTGTTATTGAGTCACTTGCTGAGATTTCTTACTTTTAGTTTAGGAAAGAAATCCTCCTGGTTAGCAAATTATTAATCACGCGCTTTCCTATTTTTGCAGACTTGAAGAAGTTGGCTGAAATACGTGAGCAAATACCCATTTTTAAACAGAAACGATCAGACCTTTATGCAGTGGAAACAAAAAAACCTTAAGGTTTGTTTCCAGCATGTCATTAAACAGGAAGATACGACTGTGCACGATCAGCTATTAAATTCTTACCTTTTTGATAATGTATTGAGGATGTTGGGAATTGAATGTAGGGTCTTTCGCAAACTACCTGTATCCCTCCACTATTGAATTTTTAAATAGACCTTAATTTTTTTTTCTCTTCCCAAGAGAATTCTATTGCTAGATCCTCAGCATGCTGACATTTTTTATGTTAGCTTGAAAAGATGATGGAGGCCAATGTCAAGGAGCAAAAAGAGGAAGCCTGGCTTTGAAACTTAAATTGCCATTCAACAAAGCACAATTCATTCAACAAAGTACAATTCATCTTGATCAATGTCCTCTCTTTCGGCAGTCTCACCTATCCCTCCCAGCCCAACCCTTCCCTCACTTTTAATTTTGTAAAATATACATTGAATTTTTTGCTGCATTCTTGCTTCTTACTCTCTTCATCTACCGCCCTCCCTTTGACTCCACTCCAACCCTTTAAAGGCTATTTATTGGTGTTTATCTTGTTGACCTAGGATTTTGCCTTTTTAAGGAATTAATACTATTTGAGTTCTTTCCTGAATTTACCATATTTCAGTTAATGAATATACACTTGAAGCTTCTTTATAGTTGTTGCCTCAAGCAGTGGATAAAAATGCCATGTTGGTATCACAGGCTTGTTTCACCTAATACCAACAGGTTTGTGTGAATCTCTTATCCCACTCATTGGAATTGCAATCTTTTATCTGGAGAACCTCCTCTGGAGCTATCTATTCTTTAAAAATACTGTATGGCTTTTGGATCCCCATCTACTGGGAATCTAGGTGTTAGGTCTTTGGTATTTGTCAGCAGTGACAGTCTCTTCCCTCCTCACAGCCTTTTCATATTTAAGGAGCTAAAGAACTCCTCTCCTGGTCTTGGAGGAAAGGCTGGGTCAACAGTAAGCCCCATGGAAGAATGGCACTGGTGACGGTGGAACAAAATCAGTAAAGATTTGCAGATTTTCCTGACTGGTTTGAGTGTTTCAAAGTCTCATCATTTTCTACTTTTCCTTAAGAACACTCTCTAGCTGCATAGATCAGAGCTATGTAGGCTAGTGGTTTTTCAGACCATTTGGTGTTCCACATTAAGATTTCTTAATGCATTATCTTTGATCAGTTACCTCTTTTCGTTATTTTCTCCCTCCCTTCCAATCATATATTTTTCCACTTCTGTTAAATTTTGCAGGGTATTCATTGAATTTATAACTGCATTCTTCCCACTTCCTCTATCCTTCTCCCTTTGGCCCCATTCCCGACACATCAAATCCCTTCATACAATTAAACACTTCAATGCATTTTCTCAAGTAGTGGCCTGGCAATTTATAACCAGCTGTCAGAAGAATTTAACATTTACTGATTACTATGGCTTTGGCCAGGAATCCACATGCCACTTCAAAAGAGTTGGGATCATACCCAATTAATTGCCTCTTGTGGCCTAATGCAGTACTGGTCCACTAAACCACTGGCTATGAATGACAGATATTGACCATACTGGTACATAAAAATTATTAGTAAAAGCTACATGAAGTGCATTCTATTAATGAGCGAAGTAATCACCTGGCATTTAATCTCTGGAAAATAGCACTGTGTCCTCAGACCAAATGTGAAAAACATGACTTTTCTTCTATGTACAATTTGGTGAAATCTGACATATATACTACCATGTAGGAAATATAAACTTAAAAGCAAGTTTAGCAGCAAACCCACTTCTTTCTCTAACCACCAATTTACCAAGGCAGTCTTTGGCTAAATAGGCCTCTTGTACATAAAGCAGTCTTTAAGATGACAATCTGTTGACTTCTTCAAATACTATTTAAAATGTGATTAAAACTGCAATTTCCAGAAAGCAGAAAGTGCTGCATGAATTGCATTTTTAAAAATTTTTAAAAACTTGTTCTAAAAATGTACACATTATCTGATGTAACTGTAACCTCTCTATACAGCATCTTTACAAGAAAATAAAATTTAAAAAAGTTGTTTCCTGTTATATCACATTATCAAGGATTGTTTTAGGTATGCTTCTCAGAAGGTTGCATGTGGGTGAGGACTGTTATACTCATTGGACCAGTATATAAAACTAGCTGCAAGGCCCAGATCTAATTGGAAACATTCTAGGCTCCTATGCAAGTATGGCTAAGACACAGGTAAAGAATGAAGTACAGCAACTCTCCTAGCTGTGGCGCCTCACTTCACGGCTGGAAGAATACCCTCAGAAAACACCATTCACCCCTGGCTTGGAGGCATGGCTCAGTTGATAGAGCACAACCCATGAGTAAAAGCATCTCTGAGGGAGTTTAAATCCCAGTCTTGGAAACCACCACCCAATAAAATTGCTATGCTTACTTTGAGTCTGTAATACATAACTGAATTCACCCAACACTAAGTCAATGAGTAAACTACCTATCTTTCTGCCCAAAGAATAGATAAAAGAGTTGAATGTAATATTTATTTGGTGAATTTACATGTGAGGTCATTTACAAAAGAAAAGATACAGACAGATGCAGCTTTCAGTGCAGTTTCAAATATTTTCAAAACAGGCAAGTCTGTGAGAATTTGGAATGATAGTACTGAATGGCACATGCTTCCTTTGCTTTTCTCTACTCAACCCCAGAAGGAAAGAAGAGATAGAAGAAAATGTCAGTGTTAATGTAAATACAGCCATGCAAATAAAAACCTTTTTCTTTAAAGCCAGACATTCAGAGATGTAGAATATTTTCTGTATTGAAGGGTTATCATAACTGAATAACTTAACAAAATGCAAAGCTAACTTTCCATTATTCCAATCATTACATTAAGTGCCCCTACTAAAATCAGTTGGAGGGTTCCTCAGTATTTTCCAAAGACTGACTTTGGAAGGGGACTCATTTCTAATAGTTTCTAAAGATAGAATTTATAGACAAAATCTTTTTGGTTTCAACAGGATATAGCACCCTTTGAAAGAGGGTAAAATTCTCCCTTACTCCCAATAATGTAAACTATAATTAGACTTCATTTCCAGGAAAGTGTAACAGAAGACTTGCTCTTTTTATTATATTCTGACTTAAACCTTTGCTGGTATCTCAAAATGAGACTTTATGAACACAGCCTTTTTCCCCATCAGAAAGAAAAATACAGCATGCTGTATATAAGCAAAATGATGGGTCCATAAAAGTGACAACTGGAAATATATCTTAAAATTATGTCTTAAGGATGAAGAGTAAAGATCAACAGGACAAAACAACCTGTTGACAGTTTATCTAGTGAAGACATGGTCCAAGTATATCTAGTGAAGACATGAGCATGAACCATTAGTCCTCAGGAGGCAGGGCCAAGTACAAAAGTACTTGGCACCTTTAAAGACACCGACTCAAAATTCCTTAAGCATACATGACCATAGTTAAAACATTAACTTGGTTACTTCAAAAAATACTGTCCTGGCTCCAGATTTATACCCTTTGAACCATTGGCCATTTTCTTCACTAGGAAACTTAAGCTAAATACCCACATATCCTATTGTTATTTGGGTTATACAAACAACCCAGTTCCTTTCTTTTTTTTTTTTTTTTTG